TAAATAAATAAATAAGTTAAATTGACTTTTCAAAGTAAGCCTCTTCTCTGCCATGTGCACTGGTGCACACCTGTAATCCCAGAAACTGGGGGAGGCTGAGGCAGAAGGATAGGAAATTTAAGGCCAATTTAGGCAATTTAGTGAGACTCTAAATTGTGTATTTAACCATAATAAAATAAAAAAATAGGGCTGGGGATGTGGCTCAAGCGCTAGCGCGCTCACCTGGCATGCGTGCGGCCCGGGTTCGATCCTCAGCACCACATACGAACGAAGATGTTGTGTCCGCCGAAAACTAAAAAATATTAAAAATTCTCTCTCTCTCTCTCTCTCTCTCTCTCTCTCTCTCTCTCTAAAAAAATAAAATAAAAAGGTTTGAGGATGGAGCTCAGTGCTAAAACACCCCTTGGTTCAATCCCTAGCACCAACAATAATGATAAAAACTAATAGAATGGTACCACTGTGAAATACAGTGTGGAGGCTCTGCACGAATTAAAAGTAGAATTGCCATATGCTCTGGCAAGTCCACTCTGGGTATACATTCCAAAGGATTGATAGCAGGTTCCAGATGAGATACTTGTACATCCGCGTCCATAGCGGCACTATTCACAGTAGACACAAGATGGAAACAATCCATTGTCCTTTGAAGGRTAACATGTGGTGTATCCATACAATGGAATATTACTCAATCTTAAAAAGGAGTAAAATTCTGATATATGCTACAATATAGATGAACCTTAAGAATAGTATACTAAGTTAGCCTGTCACAAAAGAATCCCATTTATCAGAGGTACCTAGAATAGGAAAATTCTTAGACACAGTAGGATAATGGTTTTTTTGTGTGTCTGGGGARGGAAAGAAATGGGGTGTTGTGTAATGAGTTTCAGTTCTGCAAAAATGAACTGAGTTCTGGAGATTGGCTGAAACAATGTGAACATACTACTGAAAACTATACATTTAAAAATGGTAAAGTGAGCCAGGTACAGTCGCCCACACCTGTAATCCCAGTGACTGGGGAGACTGACRTASGAGGATTGCAAGTTTGAGGCCATTCTCAGCAACTTAGCCAGACCCTCAGCATTTTAGTGAAACCCTGTCATAATATAAAAAATAAAAAGGACTGGGGATGTGGCTCAGTGGCAGAGTGCCCCTCGGTTTAATCCCCAGTGCCAATAAAAAGAGAGGTTAAAGTATTAAATTTATGTAAAGTGTATTTAACCACAATTTAAAATATTTTTTAAATATTTATTTTTTAATTGTAGGTGGACACATAATATATTTATTTCATTTTTATGTGGTGCTGAGGATTGAACCCAKTGCCTCAYGCATGCTAGGTGAGCACTCTACCACTAAGCCACAACCCCAGCTCTAAAAATATTTCTTTTAGGATTGGGGATATTGCTCAGTGGTAGAGCATTTGCTTAGCATGTTCAAGGCCCCAGCACCACAAAAATAACAATAAATTGTTTGATTTTAAAAATAAATGGCTAGCCGGATGCAGTGGCACATGCCTGTAATCCCAGCAGCTGGGGAGGTGGAGGCAGGAGGCCTGGGAGTTCAAAGCCTGCCTCAACAACTTAGCGAGGCCCTAAGCAACTCAGCAAGACCCTGTGTCTAAAATATTTTAAAAAGGGCTGGGCGGGCTGAGGTTGTGGCTAAGCAGTAGAACGCTCACCTAGCACAGCCCTGGGTTCAATTCTCAGCACCACATAAAAATAAATAAAATAAAGGTATTGTGTCCAACTACAACTAAAAAATAAATATTTTTAAAAGGGAGGGGGGAGCTGGGGATATGGGTCAGTGGTTGAGCATCTCTGGGTTCAAACCCTGGTACCAGTAAATAAATAAATAAATAAATAATGGCTACATGCCTATCAGCAAATAAATGGAAAATAGAATGTGCTAAAATCATGCCATGGAATATTATTTGGCCATAGAAAGGAAAGAAGTACTGATGATGCTATAGCATAGATGAACCTTGAAAACATTATTCTAAGTGAAAGAAGCAAGGCACAAAAGGCCACATATTGTATGGTCTGTTTGTATGAAACGCCAGGAACAGGCAATGTTTTAGAGACAGAAAGTAGATTAGTGGTGACCTAGGCCTGGGGGGATGGAAAAGGGAAAGTGAGGCCCACTGGTAAAGGGCAGGGACTTCTTTTGGTGGGGAGGAATGATTGTAGTGCTTGTTGCATAACTCTGAACCAAATAAATCCTTTAAATAGGAAAATGGTATGATGTGAATTTTATTTTAATAAAGCTGTTACAAAAAAAAAAAAGGTTATGCGCCAGGAACAGTGATTTGTGCCTGTAATTCCAGCAACTGGAAAGCTGAGGCAGGAGAATTGAAAGTTCAAGGCCAATCTGGGCAACTTTAGTCAGCCCTGATTCGAAATAAAAAATAAAATGGGCTGGGAATGTAGTTCAGTTGGAGGGTACTCCTGGGGTCAATGCCCAGGACCACAAAAACAAAACAAGAACAAAGCTCAGATAATGTTAGTCCTCTAGTAAAAATCCTGCACTGCCTCCTCATTTTACTAGACTGAAGGTCCCAATCCTAGCGGGCATGGTGGTGCAGTCTGTAGTGCAGGGACTCCAGAGGCTGAGGCAGAAGGACGGTAAGTGCCAGACCAGCTTTAGCATCTTAGCAAGGCCCTAAGAAGTTTACCAAGACTCTCTCTCAAAATAAAAAACAAAAAAAGGCTGGAGATGTATTAAATACCCCTAGGTTCAATTCCTGGTACAGGGGAAAAAAAAAAAAAAAACAAAACAACAACCTCTTACAGTAGGAAAAAAATCCTTCTTTTACCATGGTATTGCTCACCTATAATCTCAGCTACTCAGGGGGCTGAGGCAGGAGGATTGCTAATTCCAAACCAGCCTGGGCAATTCATCAAGACCCCTTCTCAAAAAATAAAAAGGGGGCTGGGGATGTGGCTCAAGTGGTAGCGCGCTCGCCTAGCATGCATGAGGCACTGGGTTCGATTCTCAGCACCACATTTAAAAAAAAAATAAAGATAATGTGTCCACCTAAAACTAAAAAATAATTTAGAATAAATAAATAAAAAGGGATGAGGATGTGGCTCAGTGGTAAAGCACCTCTGGGTTCAATAGTTAGTACCAAGGGGGAAAAATTCCTCCTCTTACTTCTTCTGCCAATTTCCTTTACCAGAATCCTTGCCTTAGAGACACAGGCACTCTCCTGCCTCAGCAACTTTGCACTGGTTTTCCCCTCTATCTGTAATACTCTTCCCCCAGGTGTCTGCTTGGCTAGCTCCCTCACCTCCTCATCTTTCTGTTGAATGAGTAAGCAGACTGGCAGAGTGAGACTAAGGTCTCCCTACTAAGAAAAATCCCTAGCTGATTTCCTGAGAGCCTGAGATCATTGGGGGAAAGGAAAAAGAATATTCTTGGCTAGGACCCAAGAAACAGGGCAGGAGAGGGTGAAGTAAAAATGAAGGTGCAGCAGCAGAAGGTAGTTAATTTTAGATCTAGGGAACTGGGAGACTTATATTCTATACAAACACCAATGATTCACTGGAACCAATGCTTGTTGCAGAAACTAATGCTYAACAGATATCTCAGCCTACACACAGAAAAATGCTGCTGGTGCAGGGAACTCTGCTGTTTTGAATTTCCTCAAAGTTTCCCCTTTTTGGAGATCTRAATATTTCATTAATTCAGATTTAAAGAAGTGGCTTCAAGTCACACATTTCACTATATTTTCACCAGAGTTTTCTGAGAAAGCAGTGTTGCCATTCCACATTACAGCTGAGAAAACGGAGGCCCAGCAACACAGAMGGAGGCTGACATTCAGTAGAAGTTCAGTAAATATTTACTAGATTTGGGGGCAGGGGGCTTGTACTGGGGATTGAGCCCAGGTGCACTTAACCACCCAGCTACACCCCCAGCCCTTTTTGTTTTTTAAGACAGAGTCTACCTAAATTGTTGAGGGCCTTGTTAAATTGCCCAGGCTGGCCATGTGGTCCTCCTGCTTCAGCCTCTGGAGTCCCTGGGWACAAAAACGCGCCTGCGTTACCACCCCTGTAACATTTACAGGATTTAATTGGAAAAGAAAAGTCYAATGGAGTTAATAGGTACCCAGAGTCATCCTGCTGATTCTACGTGCGGCAGGAGGAGAGAGTGAGGTGTGTGGTATGTGCCAACCCMCGACGTGAGGCACCATTGTTTTCTACATGTCCCTTTCCTGTCCAATTGGCTTTCTTGAAAGTGTAGACCGAAAGAAGAGAGTGAGATGAAGGTAATCAAAGCTCCTACAGAAACCTTTCCGCCTCCCACAGCTGCTTTCTGGGTTTCCGGTGAGGACTGATGTTCCCAGGAATGAGAAATGGACAGACTCAGGCAGCGCCCGGCCGGCTGTCCCACTTTGCTGTGGAAAAAGAAGGGAAACAAACAAACAAATACCCTGTCACCTGTTCCCWATCCCCCTCGGAACTCTTGAGGGTGCTCCGCGCCCTCCAAGCTGCAGGGCAGCGCTGAGGCGCGCGGGTCCCGGGCGAGCGCTAGCTGCGGTGGGGCGCACGCAGGTCCCAGGGTTGCGCCCTCCAGTCCTGTGTCTGCYCCGAAGCCAAGTACTTCGACTTAGCCTGGAACAGCTAAGCCTGGGATCTGGGGCGCAGGGACCTGGGCAGTGCCGCTCTCCGTAGCGGGGTGGACTGCGGGTGCCTGGGCCTGGAAGCGCGCGGCCACTCGGCGGGCGGCCACTTTCCCCTTCGCGGCTGGCCTCTGCGGGGAAAATCCCACCCTTTGGTTCTTCGCTCCACCCCCTAACTCCAGCGCACCCCAGCTCGGCGCCTGCAGCTCGACTGAGTCTCACGGGGCGTTGCGCGGTCCAAGACCCAGACGACTGCAGGATCCCGGGCAGCTGCGAGTTAGGCGACAACATGAATGGTTTGGGAGACTGGGTGGCCGAGAACGTGAGCCAGGCGGGGGGCACGGGCTGGCAACCCGAGGCGGTCCTCGTGCCCCTGCTCTTCGCTCTCATCTTCCTCGTGGGCACCGTGGGCAACGTGCTGGTGCTGGCCGTGCTGCTGCGAGGCGGCCAGGCTGTCAGCACCACCAATCTGTTTATCCTCAACCTGGGCGTGGCCGACCTGTGTTTCATCCTGTGCTGCGTGCCCTTCCAGGCCACCATCTACACCTTGGACGGCTGGGTGTTCGGTTCGYTGCTCTGCAAGGCCGTGCACTTTCTCATCTTCCTCACCATGCACGCCAGCAGCTTCACGTTAGCTGCCGTCTCCCTGGACAGGTGAGCACACTCTGGCGGTTTTTGAGAGTTGGGCATCAGGGCAGGGGCTGGAGAGAAGGAGRACCTGGGGACCTAGGACCTAGGAGGAAGTGAGAGGACACGCAGGCCTCAAAGAGATCCAAGCCAGCAAAAGACAAGCAGTTGCTGAAGAGGAGGAAGAGGACTAGGAATGGGAGATGTGGTGTCTCTCAGGTGCCACCTGGGGGCCTGGAAGTCTGGACARTTTGGCTCTGTGCAGCATGTCCTGGTACCCAGCATTTTCACACATCAAGCTCACTTGAGCTTAACAGTCCTGTGGGGGTGGGATGGGAGAGATTTCTGTGCCCAATTTACAGAAGAGATTGAGGTCRAAAATAACTGGCACAGAGTCACCAGCCGGTAATCTTGTTCATGAAGCAATTGATCTGTCTCTTAATGCCCACCTCAGACTCCTCCACCAYGCTTTCATCTAAAGCCACAATTTGGTTGCTTGGAGCAGTCGGGTTGAATCTAGATTGTGGAACTAGGGTCCTTTTTGAGGACCCAAGCCATAGCTCAAGTGAACTGCCTGAAGGTCCCTGGTTCAGTTCCAGCCTGCCTTGCACCCTTCCTCTAAACTGGGGGTCAGGGTCAGGGAGAGGAGCACACCATTGGGCTTTCCCTCCCCAGCCAGAGGAGGACAGTGAGAGAGGCACCTTTTGGAGAGTGCAGGACTCAGTGGAGTTTGAAATCTCAAAAGGATGTGTCCTTTCAAACTGGGGAAGAAATCCAGTGGAACTCTGATATCTCCCCCTTTCTCTCACTCCCTCTGGACCTCCTGYACAAGAGCAGGGAGGTGAGGCCACACTCCCCATTCACCTCCCATTCCACTTAGCACTAAGTATGACGGTTCCTACTGTTGGTGGGACCCACAGAGCTCCAGCTTCCCTCAGGATTTCCCTTGCAGGACATGTCTTCTTCAAGCTGTCTCTAGAGATTCAGGCATCAGGATTCTACCTCCCAGGTCACCTTCATTAGTGAATAATCACAGCTTCCCAGAGCCCCGTAGCAAGTTCTCTGTAACTGGTGGGTGCCCTCCCACGTGGAGTATGGCTGTGGTCACAGCCCTGGGGAGCAACAGAATTGTGGCTTAGGAGTGTGCCACCCTCTCTACCACTTTGAGGCTACCATCCTCTGTATCACTTTGAGGCTTAACTGAGTGTCTGACGTGGTATAACCTTGCCTTAGGGACCTTCCTTGAGAGCAGGCGTGGGGCCTGAGGTGCAAGGGCTCACCTGACGTCTTCCTTCTCGACCTGGCCTCCAGGTATCTGGCCATCCGCTATCCGCTGCACTCCCGCGAGCTGCGCACGCCTCGAAACGCGCTGGCAGCCATCGGGCTCATCTGGGTGCTGGCGCTGCTCTTCTCTGGGCCCTACCTGAGCTACTACCGCCAGTCGCAGCTGGCCAACCTGACAGTGTGCCACCCAGCATGGAGCGCGCCACGCCGCCGCGCCATGGACCTCTGCACCTTTGTCTTCAGCTACTTGTTGCCAGTGCTGGTTCTTGGACTGACCTACACTCTCACTCTGCGCTACCTCTGGCGCGCCGTCGACCCGGTGGCTGCGGGCTCTGGTGCCCAACGCGCCAAGCGCAAGGTGACACGTATGATTGTCATTGTGGCCGCGCTCTTTTGCCTCTGTTGGATGCCCCACCACGCGCTTATCCTCTGCGTGTGGTTCGGTCACTTTCCGCTCACGGGCGCCACTTATGCGCTGCGCATCTTCTCACACCTGGTCTCGTATGCCAACTCCTGCGTCAACCCCATCGTCTATGCGCTGGTCTCCAAGCATTTCCGCAAGGGCTTCCGCAAAATCTTCGCAGGCCTGCTGGACAGCACACCACGCCAAGCCTCAGGTCGCGTGTGCATTGCGGCACCTGGCACCCACAATGGCAGCGTGCTGGAGCGTGAGTCCACCGATCTGACGCATGTGAGCGAGGTGGCTGGGCTCCCTGTCTCTGTCCGGGATCTTGCCAGCTGTGCAGCCTCTGGCCCTTCCCAGCACCAAAAGACCCTCAACATCCTGACAGTTAATGAGACCTGAGAGCACAACGGGAAACAGGCTTGGATGTTGAAGGGCTGGAGTTTGAGGATGGGAACTGTAGGGAGAGTCTCTTTTGTTAATAAAACTCGCCAATCATTTCACGTTCAGTGTATGCCTGCTGTCTCCAAATTTCTGAGTCAGGATGCCCTGTGTGAAAAGCCTCTGGGACCTCTGTGAGGTGCAATATGGGTGCAATATACTTTGCTGAGCTACCTGAAATGGGCACTGAGAGCAGCCTGGTTAAATTTTTTWAAAAATCCCTAACTGAAGCTGGAGATTGAGGGACTACCAAAGGCTCTTTACAAGTGACCATCCTGAGGCTGCAGATGTACACAGATCTCCRAACCATCAGCCAATTCCTGAGACAGAGGCTTAGTATTTAAGTGAGTTGGATAAAGTCTGTGAATAACAAGCAAAAATGTGTACTCCTGGTTGCATTCATGCAATGCATTGGGTCCTCACCTGCATCCAGTTTCCTGAGGTCCCTTTGAGTAAATCCTATGCCTACCCATTTTTGGTTTTGGCATTTCCTTACCTGGCTGCATCTGGGCAGGATCAGGTATCCAGCATGTCAGTCTCACCCCTGGCCTGTTCTACTCTGGGTACCCTCTAGCCACTCTACCCTTAGAATACCCCACAGCATTGCTCAAGAGCTAGTCTCTATCTGGTCCTTGTATTTGTTCCACTCCCAGAGTTCTCGTGCCATTGCACTATTTTTTGGGGGGAGGGGTACCAGGGATTAAATGCAGGGGCACTCGACCACTGAGCCACATCCCCAACCCTATTTTGTATTTTATTAGCCAGGGTCTCACTTCTCACTGACACCTGCTTAGTGCCTCACAGTTGCTGAGGCTGGCTTTGAACTCACAATCCTCCTGTCTCAGCTTCCGGAGCCACTGGGATTACAGGCATGCCCCACTGGGCCCAGTGAGCCAATGCTTTTTACATAAGGTCAGACCAGTATTGAAGTAGAGGCAAGGACACTCAGARGTGCCCCCATTTCATTGCTGAGAGGAGGCCACTTTGGACAAGGGTTTAGCCAGGTTGTTGTCAGCCACCAAAATATAGAAGAGACCTGTGCCAAGGTTGTCCCTGAGTGGAAGAACCAAGTAAGGGAGAGATGGGGGTGCTAAGCTTACCCGACCCGCTTTGGCAGGCTTTGAATGAGGTAATAGGTTCCAGGTGGTGGAAATGGAGCAGGGCAGGGCCGCCTAGGCAGGTGCAAGGTGGGTGGGGCTGGGTCCTGGCCTTTGTCTTTGGGTGTTTGCGGAACCAGAACCATATGGGTTGCTAAGCCCAAGATCCCAGTCCTTGAGCAGAGCAGCTGCCTCCCTCAAATTGCTCAGGCCCCAGGTAAGTGACTGAAATATAGGTCACAGCTTAGGACCTGCTGCTCTATCCAGTCCTCCAGGGAGCCACAAATGATGTCCCTGTGGATCCTGCTCCATCTTGCCTTCCTTGGGCTCAGCAGCATCCCACCCTGGGTCCAAGGATCCAGCCTATGTAAGTCTAGTTGCCAGATGGAGGGAGTAAGCTTTGGGATTGGGGCCTCAAAATAACTTCAACCTTTACCCCTCAGCCTGGCCATCCTCCCTTGACCTCAACTCACCCCTAGAGGTCCATGAAACCATCCAGATTCCTAACAATGGGAGTGCACCCCTGCAAGTGAKCGTGCAGGTGTTTGTGTCCAATGTGTTTAATGTGGTAAGTGCCACCTGGCTATGGGAGGGGACAGGACCCAAATGCTGATTTGGGGAAGGGGCAGGACTTAGTGTCCACTAGTGCTGGGTCTCCTGCCTCTTTTGTCACRTAGCACCTAAACTGTGAGGTGACATGTTGCTCCCCTCTCCCAGGACATCCTGCGGTACACAGTGTCTTCTATGATGATGCTGAGGCTGGTGAGCTCCTATCCTGGCTGAGATGGGACAAAGATCKTGGTTTTCATCAACTAGCTAATCTTGGGGGTGTGTATATGTGAATGGGACCTTAATGGTATCCTTGTACCCTCAGTCCTGGCTGGATGCTCGCCTGGCCTGGAATGCTAGTATGCACTCTCGGCATGCAGTCACAATGCCCTGTGAATCACTCTGGACGCCTGGACTCACCATCCGGGAAGCGTGAGTGAGGCAGAAGTTCTCATTCCAGAAACCCATGGTGTACATCCTTCCTCCCCTTCCCCCTAGAGCCCAGAGGCATTCTTGATGGCTATTCCCCACCTGGTGCTGCCAGTGCCAAATGTAGTTCCCCGCTCCCTTCCAGTCTAAGAAGGGGCTGGGTCTCTGTGCACCTTTCTCCACAGGCTCTGGGTGGACTGGAAGGACCAGAACCCACAGGCCCGAGTAGACCCAGATGGCCATGTGGAGCTTAACCTGGCTCTCACCACAGAGACCAACTGCGACTTTGAGCTCCTCCACTTCCCCAGAGACAAGAGCGACTGCAGCCTCAGCTTCTTCGATTTTAGCAACACTGGTACTGTCAGGGTGGGGACTGGGGGTGAGGGCAGAGGGGAGGGGACCCTGACCTCTAGCACAGGTCTGTGTTCAGATCAATCTATCCCCTGGCTTAAGGGAGCTGAATGGAAATGCATCTCACCTGTGCCTCCCAGACAGCAGCCCATCTCCCCTCATTCTCCCYGCCCTCATCCAGGGGCCTGCTCACTTCAGTCTTCCCTCCCCAGAGCACCTGTTCTCAACAGCCAGGGCCAACTGCAGTGGCTGGGCCACTKGTGTCAAGCCCAGAAGCTCAGATTGCTGTGACTTTTGAAGGAAACTGGATAATAAATATCCACAGACCAAACAGGTGGCATCTAAGTTGGCAGAGAATTCCTAACTCCCCTCACATCTCTCTTCTCTATGAAAGACCACAGCCAGTGCCCACAGACCCTAATATTTCAGGTGTGAGATGATGGGCCAGTGATGAGTCTGTGATCACTTCCCTGCCATCAAGTGGTACAAAGTGCATTTATTTCTACAATGAAAACTCATCAGTGAATCTGATAAGACCCTTCCTTTAACTGAAGACAATCTGAGGTGCTGCAAAATGTCTGGCAAGCCCTCCTACTTACCACTTSCTCCTCCATCTCTGCTCCCCAAAGTCATCAGATGTCTGCATCACCCCTGGGCTCCAGTTTGTTTCTATTCCTACCCTCAAGAGGTTGGGGGGCAGGGCAGGGATATCTCCTTCCCGGTGGTTCACCATTCCCATCCCCATTCCTTTCAGTGAGGGAGCTGGAGTTCCGGGCCCATGCGGTGAATGAGATTGTGAGTGTCAAGAGGGAATATGTGGTTCATGACTTGAAAACCCAAGTCCTGCCCCTGCAGGTAGTACCCTGCTTCCAGGTGACGGTGAGTGGAATCAGGAAGGGACTGGCAGAGGCTGATCAAGGGAAGGGGAGTGGGTTAGGAGCCAAAGGCATGACACCATCCCTCTGCTGCCTATCCTCCCATCCCCTGGGAAACGCTTTTTTCCTTCTAGCTGAGCCTGAAGAACACAGCACTCAAGTCCATCATATCGCTGCTGGTACCTGGAGAGGCACTGCTGTTAGCTGATGTRTGTGGGGGGCTTTTGCCCCTCCAGGCTACCGAACGCATTGCCTACAAGGTGACATTGCTGCTGGGCTACCTGGTCTTCCACTCCTCCCTGGTGCAGGCCTTGCCCAGCTCCTCTTCCTGCAACCCACTGCTCAGTAAGGCCTGCTTCCTCCCCTAGCTCTGGGTAGGACTCTAGTGGGCCTGCCCCCCTCCCCCATACCTGAGCCTCTACCCAGCCAAACCCCTGACTTCCTGTCCCCTCCCCTTCCCAGTTCACTACTTCACAGTCCTGCTACTGCTGCTCTTTCTTAGCACCATAGAGACTGTGCTGCTGGCTGGGCTGCTAGCTCGGGATAGTCTTGGGGACAAAAGTAGCCCCAGCCCAGGCCCAAGAAGAGAGCAGAGAAAGGAGAACCTGGGGCCTAATTCTGAAGGTGGGCAGGCACTAAGGCCCCTTCTTGAGGGTGGTGAGGAGTGAGGCCTTTGGTAGCAGGTTCCATAGGGCAGAAGCTGGCACCACTGTCCCTGGGTTCCACTGTGCCCTCCCTGGGAAGAAGCATGTCTATCTGGGGTAGTGGCCCAGGTGACCTCAGATCCCCCAGAAAACCCCATGYCTTGCAGAACTCTCTAGGAGGGTTTTTTCTCTGCTGGAAGTAGCCTGGGAGGGGCTAGATTTGAAATTTCATTAGTTGAGAATCTAAGGCAGGGGGCATACAGCTGGTAACTGTTAAGGTTTACCCTTCTGCTCTGAGAGAAGGAGCCCTGGGAACCATTTCTTTCCCTACCTCTCTCCCCGCAGCAGACCCCAGCGGAGGAAAGAGGTCAAGGAGAAGCTGGGCTGAGGCTGCTGATCATGCCTTCTTCCTCATATATGTGACCAGTGTGGTGTGCAGCCAGCTCATCTTTGCTGGAACATGGATATGGGCAACATGCAAGTCTGACCCAGCCCCTGGCAAGGCTGTCCCTTATGGTGGGCCACCCAGGCTGTAACAGGGCCCAGTGCTGTAGACCTTAGGATAAGGTGTGGTTTCCTGAGACTGGAGGGAGAGAAGGACAGGGTTTCTGGACAGAGGGGGAAGAGGGAAGGCTCTTTGCTTAACTCTTGGGGRCCTTGAGCACCCTGAGCTCGCCCCTGTGTGTGTGTAGCAGCAGAGTGAGAAATAAACCTATCACCCAGTGCAAGTGCACCTCAAGGGTTTGCCTTCATTGAACCCAACTGTTCACTCTCATCCTAAGTAGGTGAGGCCTGACTTTATACCCTTTATACTTTGCTCCTGAACTGCTGGCCATTATCCACCAGTGTCTCGCCCCACACACTCAACCTTACTGCTCTTTCTGTGACCACTGCTGCCATTCACTGATGCCAGGGACAGGGAGACAGGTATATGAGCGGCTAGCCCCAGAGGGCGGGTCAGAACTCCTCTAAACACTTCCTGGGAGGGAATGGAGAGAGAGCACTCATGCCCCCTAACACCTGGGGGACTCCTGGGAGGTGGAACTTCCCCAGATCTCAGGATAGTGGACCATGCACTAACTCCAAAAGAGTGGGTCAGCCCTGATTGCCTTTTCTCTAGCCTCCTGGCTGTGGTATGGCCTGTTCCTCTGATCTCTACCCACATCTCTGAGCTAAAAGGGAGATCTCCATCTCTAGTTCTGAACYAGACTGGGGTTAGGTTCTACCCTCCTACTCTTGGTAGCTGGGGGCACCACCCTGTCTTCATTCTTTCCTGTTTCAGATGCTATTATGTAGTCCCTTCCAGCTGTGCTTAGCCATAGAAGGTGGGAAAAGCCCCTGAGTTCTGGGAGAGTGCTGGTTTGGTGGGGAATGTGGGATGCCTGGAAGAAGCAGACACCAGGACTAAAGGGATAGGACTTCYGGAAGGGGTGGTGAAGAGAGGACTCTGTCCCAAAGGACTTCAAACTCACCCAGCCCAGAGGCAAGTTAACACTGGTTTATCTTTCCAATAACATGGTTAGTCTGGTGGAACCAGGCAGAGACACTGGCGGGCTTAGGCGGAGGTGTCAAAAAGGCGATCGATCATGTCGCCCACCTGCTCCACGCGATACTTGATGTACTTCTCAGGGTTCTTGGTGAAGGGCACGCTGCCATACCTGATCAAGCACCAAGGTCAAAGGGAGGGGAGAGGCCAACCCCTCCTCAACTCCACCCTCCACCTAAGGYACATCTGATAGGGTTTCAGAGATGGAGTGGGATACCCCTTAGTGATGTCCCAAAGCCCAGACTGGATCTCTGACTAGGTCCACCACACCCTCCTCCTTTCYGTGAGGAAAAGGAGGGCACAAAGCCCAGTGGGGAAGTGGGCAACGAGGGTTTACCTGTGCAGAAAGGCCCTATAGGCCTCCTTGACAATGTTTTTCTGTGCCTGGCGAATCTTGTCCCTTTGCTCTGTGTCTGGAATAGCCCAGGCCTTCTGGATCTTGCACAGTTCTTCAAGGCCATCATTGAAGCCCTGGCCACAAAAAAGGTGGRAAGAGAAGGGACCAGAGACAAAAGCTTTGGGTCTGGGATGGCACAATAGAAGCAACAAGCAGCAGAGTAGAAAGATCCTAACTTACCTTAAAACGTTCCTTGATCATCTGTCTCTCCTTGTCCCGGAGCTGGTGGGGTAGGGAGAGGGACGGAAGCGGGCCAGAGAAAGCTTTGCTCAGTGCAGAATCAACYTGCCTTGATCTTTCCTAACACTGTGGGTCCCAGTCCACCCTCCTGCTACCCTCGTGGTCATACACATCCTTTGCTTTCTGATCCCAGAGGGATTTTGTCCATTTTTCCCCAAAAACACAACGAAAGTATCACATTTGCTCAATGTCTCTTCCTAGCCCAGACCTTAAGCCCACCTTGACTCCAGGCTGGAACACAGGTAGATTCTTCTCTGCGATGTAATCGGTCACCTTTAACCAACTGCCAGAAAGCAGGGAGAGCACATAAGGCTAGGGAGACAGGGCCTCTGCTGGCCTTGGCTTTTTTTTTTTTTTATTTCTTGATCTACTGTGGGGGTTGGGGGCTGGGAATCTATCTAGATTACAACTAAACAACTGGGATCTTTTCCTTGGGAACAGAAAATGTCTAAGCTGCTCACTTTAAAAATTAAGAACAATCAAGAGCATTGTAATGTTTTGAACAACTAATAAAAAAAATTAAAAATAAATCAACTCCAAAAAAAAAATTAAGAACAAGAAACAGGGCATTCAATAAACTGAACAGATACTGACAACTGCATTGATATCATGGCCAAGATGAAGAAATAGATGAGAAAGAGGGAGAAGAGGACAGAAKAGAGAGATACTGAAGGGAAAGAAACAAGCCAAGGAGAACAGAGAGCCAGAGAAGCAGTGAGGACCTAAGAACAAGGCTTAGCCAAGTTCAAGGCTCTTAAAACTCTGTTCTACTCTTGGGCTAAACATTACCCACATTTTTGCAGTCAGATCTTCAACTATTCTTAGCCATGATACTTGGCAGCCCACTCTGAAGAAACCAAGGGACAGCAGGCAGCAGGGGGGCCTCTCTCTCCACTATGTGAATTTGATTAAAAAATAAGTGAAAGGCTGGGGCTGGGGCTCAGTGGCAGAGCACTCGTGAGGCACTGGGTTCAATCCTCAGTACCATGTAATAATAAAATAATAATAAAATAAAGATACTGTGTTCACCTATAAGTAAAAAATAAATATTTAAAAAAAAATAAGTATGGGGCTGGGGTTGTGGCTCAGCAATAGAGCGCTAGTCTTGCACGTGTGGGACCCTGGGTTTGATCCTCAGCACCATATAAAAAATAAATTATTGAAATAAAGGTATTGTGTCCAACTATAAAATATTTAAACAAACAAACAAACAAACAAACAAATAAATAAATAAGTGAAGAAAGAAGATAATAAAAGGCTGAGGGTGCAGCTCAGTGTACATGGGCCAGCTCCCTAACTACACCAGCCCCATCACAATAAAGCAGTGACCTTGGGTGCCCAAAAGAGTGCAGGGGCAGCACTCCTACCATAGGATGCAGCCTTGGGTTCAATGGCAGGCACCAAAACACAACAAAAAAGAGGAGGATGGCGTCCACAGGGCAGCAGTTACTGACTTCCTCTTATAAGGCACTGAGAACMAAGACTGTGTGTGGGCTCAGGGGCAGGGACGTGGCAAGGAGCCTGGGCCTAGCAGGCGGATAGGTGGCTGTTCACCTGCGCTGGTAAGTCTGGATCTGCTGTTGGATATGCTCCCGGTAGGAGCACTCAGCTGTCTTCTGAGTCACGGCTACCAGCTGGATCAACTCGGACCTGGATGCAGGAAGGAGATAGAGTAGAGAAGGACAGAATGAGCTCCTGGGGTGGGGCTGGGGATGTGGCTCAAGTGCTAGTATGCTTGCCTGGCATGCGTGAGGCACTGGGTTCGATTCTCAGCACCACATTAAAAATCATATTAAAAAAAAAAAAGAATGGGTTCCTGGAGCCCAGAGGCTGCTGGCCTTGGCAGCATCACCAGGAAGGAGGGCCCCCAATCCCATCTTGAAATTTCCAGAGCTAGAAGGCAGCAGCACTCAGTGCTCGCTAGTTGGGGACTACAAAGAACAAAGTGGCCCTCCCTGCCTGCACTCAGGAGCAGCCAGCCCTGGAGGGCAGAGGCTGGAATGGCTGCCCAGGCTGAGGTGAGTGAGGTGAGGCGCAGAGCTTTGCCTGCAGCCACTTACTTCTCCAAGGACTTGAGGATGTAGTTGTAGTTGTTGTGCAGGAAGATGGCGCTAAGTGCTGGGTCCTCATACACCTTGGACTTGCTTAGCAAGTTCAGCTGCAGGTTGCCCAGGACTTTACCTGCACAGGGAAAGATGGCAGCCTGACCCAGATGGCCCAACCATGGGACCCAACCATGGGACTATTCCTGACTATTCCTTGTCATCCTGACTCGAGGGCCTTTTGAGCCCTTCTCAATTTCCTTGGCCCCTGAACTAGAGCTTGGGTTGCAATTCTAAGGTCAGGAGAGGGATGCACAAATAGCTGACGAACACAGAAAGGGGAAGGGAGGGAAAAGGTTYTAGAAGACACTCACAGATATAGGTGCTCAGCAGTCGCTTGCTGAATTCAGAGCTGTAGCTGGTGGCTGACGAACTGGTCTCTGTGAGAAAAKAAGTCCTGTGATGGTGGTGGCAATGGCCAAGATCCTCAGTGGCCTTCCCCCACCCAAGGAGCAGGAGAGGAAATGCTGGGAGAGTCCCTGGCTTCCCCAGGAGAGCTGGTGCCTGCTGAGCTGCTGGGCTGCATCCTATGGCAGGAGTGCTGCCCCTGCACTCTTTTGGGCCCCAAGGTCATGCYTTATTGTGATGGGCTGGTATAGTTAGGGAGCTAGCCCATGTCAGCAGAAAGGCTGGAGGGACAGGAGTGGAACACCAGGCTCCCCACCCCTGGCCCCAACCCATGCTGGGCGGTACCTACAAGGCCCACTTTTCCCATTTGCCAACAGCCAACTCTCAGAATGGGGTCTATCATCTTTCCACTTCCCACAATCCCCCCACCAGGCCCTTATGAGTAAGGGGGGCACACTGCCTGCAGAGCAGAAGGCCAAGTAGGGAGACTGAGGGGCTGAACATGGCAGGCTGGAGAGGCTGGCTCAGGGACAAGGTGGCTGTGAAGGGAGCAGCGTAAGGTAAGAGCACCCTGGGAGGTCTCATGTCCCCTCGGGGCCCCACCCCCAACAGATCCTGAGAGCAGGTCCCCAGGGAATGAGGGCTTTGGCAGGGAAGGAGGGGGCTGCAGAGCCGCACTGCTTACCTCGGGGGTCTAAAGGAATATTGTATGTGTCCCCAAGAACTACGGAGTGAAAGGCAGTGCACACAGAGGGGACAGAGGGAGACAGAGGAGGGAGAAAGATGCAAAGTGCAAAAACAGGTTAGAAATGGCTATGTCACCCCGAGTCAAGCAGACCTCTCCCCATGACAGCCAGACACAGACACAGACACAGACAGGCAGCACACAGCAGGGCAAGCCCTTTTAAGACCAGGCAATACACTGGAATGCAGATGTGGAGAACCACAGGGCAGAGGCAGCCCCTTAGCTCCTTGTCCCCAAGATGGGTCAGAGGGGAGACCTGGGAACCACGGGGTGTGGAATGAGTTGGAGGAGTGCTCATCTTTACTGCCAACCTCCCATGCTCTAGTTCYAGGGTGGTGGCCAGCGGGAGGACACCCAGCTGACCCTGAGACACCAGCCCACCAAGGGTCAGACTGATTAAGAAAACAGGTAGACACAAGAAGAATTAGAGAAATGTGGAAGGAGGGGAGGGCAGGAAGGGTGCTTCAGACCAGCAGTGCCTTCCCAGAGCAAGGATGGCCRTGAATGCAAGGAAAAGGGCTGGGGGGCCAATAAAGAGATGGCAAACTTCGCTCTTCTGATATTCAGTCTGGGAAGGCCCAGTGGGCTCAGGGTCCCCCACAGGCTGTCTCTAGCCCACTCCACGCACTGGAGGAGTTCCCGCCCCAAGCCCTGCCCTCACCCTATGAAGGTCAATTCTTTTGGGGGGCTAATCCATGTTCCCAGGCAAGAAGGAGCATTGGGGCAGACAGGGTCAGCTGGGTGCTGAGTACCTTGGGAGGCCAGCATGGCACCTGCTGTCTCCTGGAAGTCTAGGAGCTGCTGCAGGAAGAGGATGGCCTGGTGGGGGGACACAGTCCAGGAGGAAGGTCAGGGGCAAGGCCCTTCTGCCAGTGAGAAGGTGGCTAGAAGCTTCATGTTTCACCCTTTGGGGGCTCTGGCTACCCACAGGCCCTGTCTGTTAAAGATGCTACACACCTCACCAATTATCTTCCACCAGGATGTGGCTCTAAGCCAGGTCAAGTCCCCTCCCCTGGTGCTGTGCCCAGGGTCTGGACTGAACACCACTTTTCCCCATTTCCCCAGGGGTCCTCGGGCAGCACTTACATTGCTTGTGAGCTCATGCACAGTGCCGTCCTTGGGCATGTTGTATTCCTTGTCTGGATCATTCTGTGGAAAAGACAGCTCCTGGTTCTCTGCAACAGCTTCCATAGGCAACCTCAAGCCCACCCCATGCCCCCATTAGTCTGTTCATGGTGCCACTTCCTGRTCTGTCAGGTTAGGATGTCCATCAGCCTCAGAGGCTGAGCAAGAAATCAAGACAATAGTGTCTGACCTCCGAGGGCTCCAGGAGGGAAAGGGGGATTGAAAGGGGACCAGCAGCACCATGGTTTTCCTACAGGGCAAGCCTATCCCTCTTGCAGGTCTGCTCTCTGAGGAGTCCCCAGAGACATATCAGCAGGCCAGGCCTGGTGGTAGTAGAGGAAGGGAAGGCAGATAGATACCTTGATGTTGTCCGCAAAATCCTCCAGTGCTTTGGCTCCAATGGTCTCCATGGAGGTGATGAGGCTAGGCAACTTATTTTTGGTGCTGGCGGCCGTGCCCTGAGAAAGCACACTGCTGCACACCCTAGCCAAAGCCAGAGCCTACTGCTCTCCACAGTGGGCTGTGCGTGTCCCTGCCCCCACCCCAGGAGACTGACTCTCCAGCAAGGTAGCCACCAATTCTCCTTGAATCACCCTGTRAGCATCTAGACATGCCCAGGACCCTACAGAAACTGCTTCCATTCATGCAAAAGAGAGGTGCAGAGCACAGAATGAGATTCAGGGAGGAGTTGGGGAGGCCATATGGGGAGGCAGCATTCCTCCTTACTGTGTGTCCCCAAGGGCCTCTCCACTCACATACCTGAAGCACCTGGTCAAACTCAGGCTTGGTCTGCTTAAGGTGYCTCAGGATGGGGAAGACTGTGAGCACCGTGGAGAAGTCATGGCGAATGATGGCCTTCCGGGCAGCAGACACAATGTTCTCCCCCTCAATCATCAGCCCATCCAGGGCGTCCTGGGAGAAGGACAAGGAGGCAGCTCAGGGAGGGGCAGAGGGAGAGAGATGATTTCTAGGGATGACAATAGGAAGCCAGTGTGCTGTGGCAGGAAGATGGGAAATAACAAAGTACACAGTAGCCACCTAGGACAGTGCTCTAGGCCACAAGCTGGAGATAAGGGCTCAGGACAACAGGCCTGCCCCACACTCAGAGCCTGTACAGATAGCTTTGCTGAGGCTCTGCTCTGTTCAGAGCCTCTGGGTAGGGCGAGGTAGGGCAGGACCTGTATCAAGGAGTCAAAGGTCTTCTTCTGATGGTGCTCTGGGATGATCTCTGTCAGCAGTTGGTACTCGCTCAGGGCCAGCTTGACAAAAGCACTGACGCAGTGAATGTAGGCATCAGTCTCCACATCCAGCATGTCATCTCTCCCTGAGGGAACAGTAGTGCTCYTGAGCTGCTGGTCTGGGGAAAGCCACTCACCCTGTGGGGGAAGGGGCAGTGGACCTCCCCAGTTCCTGTCCTGTAGCACAGACTGGCCACAGGCCCAGGGCTGGGGGGGATCAGGAGCTAAGACCAGCCTTCATCCTGGCTTCATTGTCAGCTTCTTGCAGACAGTATGTGTGTCCCCAGAGCATCAGATACTAGAGGTGGTAGGAGAAGGATAAACGGAGAGGAAGGGCGACCCCTAAACCTACTTCCTAGATAAGGCCTGTTGGACCCCAGGTCTAAGAATTCTGAATTGTGCCTGGAAGAGGGCAGCTCAGGATAGGCAGGCAGCAGTGCCCATCTCCCAGAGGCAGGTACTGGGGTCCTCTCTTTGAGAAAATGCTGGGCTCATGAAAGCCATCACCAGCCAGCCAGGCCTTCTGGAACGTGTAAGAGGGCAGTGGGCTATGGCTTAGAGACTAACTGACCTCAGCTCAAAATCTGGGAGGAAGTATGTGGGCCCCCGAGAGGAAGGGTTCCTTGGTGGTAGGCTGCCCCAGGAAGAGACCACATCCCACTGTTGGAGGCTGGGGGAGGGTGCCTGCAGACAAAGCCAGCGCAAGACAGCTTGGTCCTACATGCTGAGGGACAGGCTCCAAGGAGACAGACACCAGGGCTCCTTGCCCTCGAGGGACCTTCCCTCCTGCCTGCTTTTTGAGCATCGAGCTGCAGCTTCTCCCCTCGCTGGGCCCTAAGAGCCAGGCAAGCACTCCCATCTCAAGAGGAGCAAGAAGACCTAGTGCCCAAAAGAGACCAGAGCGAAAGTGAGGCTGTAGGCCTGGCCCATCCTTGGAGCATAGCAGGCCTGGCTGGGCAGGCAGGARCAGGCCATCCGGGGACCACTGCAAAGGCAGTGTCAGCGGCTACCCTGAGGCTGGGCTACGGTACTCACCGGCCAGTGGCCCGTGCTTGTCGTTCAGGGCCTCGGACAGGTGCTTAACTCGGAAATCATGCTCGTGACCTAGCAAGACGACGGCCGCACAAATACAAGCAGCGTTTATCCAGGGGCTAGGAAGCTGCCTTGGGGCATGGGGAAGAAGCCCTTGAWCTCCAGAAGGGGGATGGGAGATGTGGCACAGGGAAGGGAGCATCGGGGAGGCCTCCGAGCCCCTCCTCTGCCTCAAACCACCACGGGAACAGCCGTTTCAAGCCTGATTTGCAGCGATTGCCCAGGACCATCCCTGGCTGCTTGTTTCCCTGAGCCTGGAGGCTGAGAGAAAGATGGGTAGACCCAGGAGAGTGTGATGCTCAGCCCCAGGGGGCTTGCCCAGCTCACTGTCTTTGGGAAGAGAACCAAGTAAGAGAGGGCAAATAGGGGCGATCTTCCTTTGCTTCCCAGGTTGATTCTTATGAAGGACGCTTGAGTCCACCAGGGCAGCTGATCTGGCTGTCCCTACCCAGACAGGAGGGGGGGATGTGGCCTCCAGACAGCCTATCCCCTTGCTGCACACAGCCCCCTTCCTAAAGAGGTGGCTGGCCAAGAGGCCTCACCAACTTGGTCCTGCCACTGCTGGTCTGAGCGTGAAAGGGCTGCCCCAAGACAAAGAATTTTCTCTGAGTTCACACGGGAGACAAGGACAGAGACAGGGAATGGGGAATGGGAAGCCTCAGGGAGGGCAGAGCTGCCAACAGCCAGACAGGGCCAAGCAGAGCCACAAAACTGTCCCTGTGCCTGTTGAAGTCTAAGCGGCATTAGGAACTTGCCATTCCCACCCTGCCCACCTCTGGGGTTTCTTCTGAGGCCCTCCTGGGGGAGGCTCTGCCCTGCCAAGTGATTGGACACACAGTGGAGGAAGGAACAGGAGGGGAGCACGGGGTGATTACCTTCCAGAGGAATGAGGTTAGAGCCCCCCTTTTTCCCATCTAGACCATGCTGGGAATACTGTTTCAGAAGGTTCTGAGCCTTACGGATCGTCCCTGTCACCAGAGCCACACAGAGAGGAGATAAGAAGACCTAGGAAATGAGTGAGAGAAAACAGCAGCGGCCTCCACCTGCCCGGCCCACGCCGCCCCAATAGCGAGCATGCCCCTCTACACCTCTCCCAGCAGGCCCTTCACCAGGGCCACCAGAGACCCCAAGGTTGGAGAGAAGAAAACGTTTCATCCTCCAAATGTAGCTCTGGGCTCTGCTGTTGACCCTCATTGTGCTGGATTTGAGTTCCCTTTAGGAAGTGCAGAGGATGACAGAGATAAGAGGACAAAGATCCATCAGGTGAAGTCCAAAGTAAAAAACTCAACTGAGCGGCATTTTAATCAGTATGGATGAAGGAGCTAGTGATGAAACTTTCATAAACCAAGGGCATGACCTAACCCCTGGGGCCCCCTGGAAGCCCCTGGAAGTCAGCCCCAAAATCCAAGGCAGAGTCCCCGAGCATGCTCAAGTGTTGGGACTTAGGCCAAACAGCAGTCCATGGCAAGCAGCCCTTGGGAGGTGGTGAGATGGGATTGAGCTTCTGTGGAGCTGTGCCCCAGACAGGCTCAGCAACCCAGAGCAGCAGACCCCACACCAGGGGAGTTCCCCAAACCACCACAGCAATGGGAACAAACTGAAAAGCTAGGAAGGGGCTAACAGAAGCCACCACCCAAGAGGAAGAGCAGGAGGACAGTGCACATGCTCTTGGCAAGGGGGGAAAAAGAACAGTTAGTATCACAAGTGAAAACAATGCAACAGAACTGCCAGTCCACAGCCTCTGGGGTCAGCGCCTGCAAGAATGAGACATCTCGGGGAGGAAAATGTGGGCATGAAAAATAGCACTCAATCAGACAGGTACAGCTACCTCGCTGACAAAATGTACTGGGGTAGGGGAGGCCACCATGAGCCTAAGTTGGTCCATCTTCCCTGGAGAACCCTCCATGTATCTGACTGTGGTGAGACTGCCATGTCCTGGCAGCTCCCCACAAGGCTGGGGGAGACAGGGCAGGGCCCAGATGGCTCATTCTTTCTGTCCGCACTACATCACAATTAGCTACTGATAACCCAGCTGGGCGGGCCTGGCTCACATCTGTCTCCCCTGTGTTCCCTACTTCAGTGAGCACCTCACTAATGAGCAAATCATATTCCTGCCTCACCAGGATCGGGGATGCTAACCTGGCAGCTGCCAAACCTATTAGGGGCCTAATTACCAGGGCCCAATGTTGAGGTCACTGACAAGACCTCTTTGCTCCTCTCCTTAGAGCTGGGAACAGATGTTCAGGAACAGAAGCTTGACACCCTGGTCTTGATCTCAGGCCTGAGCCCACCAGCTCCTGCCAACTCTGAAAATGCCACAAGACCATAGGAGTCCTCACAGCCAATTTCCTGCTTGTACCTCTGCCACAAGGAAAGATTAGGTTCATTTCAATCCCCAAGGTCAGATCCTCTTCCCAAAAGGCCTCTGCGGCCCCCAATGACCGGAGGGCACTTCTGGGGCAGTTCAAGCAGGGTTACAGGGCCTCCAGTGAGCCTGTCAGAGAATAAGGCAGAAGAAGTGAGCACAGAGCAGCTGAGGCCTGGCAGCTGGGCAGCCTCATGGGGATAGCTCCTGCTCCATACAACTAAGGCACAGAGACAGACCAGCTGGCTACATAGGCAGCCGCAGCCAAGCAGGCTGGGTTAGTAGAGTCACTGCAGCAAGTTCTTTGGGGACAGCCAGGACATCCACTCAGAGGGGAGAAGATAGCACACTTCCTGCCTGGTTCCTGCAGCCCAACTCCCTAATGCTCTGCTCCTCACTTGTGCCCCTGAGGGCAGCTTCCACTGGCCTCACCTCCCAACCCTAATCAAAGGCCTGAGGAGGAGCAGGTGATCTCATCAGTGTGAACAGACACCTTGCTCTCTCAGGGGCACAGCAGCTAGGCCCTGGAGAAACAGGGAGTGAGCTCTCCCACCTGCTGTCGCAACACCACATCTCCTGGGCAGTGCCTACCGAGGTGCCTGCAGCTGTAGCTGGGGTGACCCAAGGTGGGTGCAGTTCCTGGCTTCACTGGCYGCTTCCCATGCTACTAGCTCACTAGCCCCAACCCTGGGACATTCAGTCTCTCTTGGAACCAAGGGCAGCATTTTCCAGGCAGAGACAGCCAGGCTCGCCAAGCCATGGCTGACACACAGAGACAATGTCCACCTGGAGCAAAGGCTACAGGGGACATAACAACAGGAGAAAGAACAGTGTGCTGCTTCTAGAACACCAATGACCATAAACCCAAACCTCTCTCCATGCTGGGCCCTTCAACAACTTCCATAACCAGGCATGGTCTTTGAATTGGAGTCCAAAAGCAAGTCCGAGTTCTTCCAAGAAGATGGTTTGGGATTTCTTTCCTTTCGGGACTGACTGTAAAAGTATAAACCCTCCCCAGCCTCTTCTCCACTGTGCATCACTTCGAGTCCCCCTGGCTTTCTGGAAGGTAAAAGCTGGAGAGCTTGCCCATCCTCTCCCATTGTCAGGGTGGCAGAAGCACCTGGCYTCCCAACAGAACAATGAAGGAAGAGGAAGGGGCCTCCCAACTGGCTCTGTCACCACACCTCAGGAGGGCTAACTGAACACATCTGTGACCCCTCATTCCAAAGACACTATGTAACTCTCAGACTGGTGGGTATCAGGGCCTCACTCCACAGGGCCTTGCTGAGGGGGAAGACCCTTCATTTCTGTCCTGTGTACCTATAGCTGGGGTCATCAAAAAGACAAGTTATGGAGGGATCTGAATTTGCTGACTCCAGGGTAGACAAAAGCAATCCCAGGTTCTAGGCAGCCCTCTAGCTGTTGCTTAAATGGCCAAGGTCGGACCTCACCTGGCCGCTTGACTGGCTTCTTAGTGGGTGTGTCCTTCCTCTTGTTGGGGATGGCAGGGGAGTAGGGAACCCCAGAGGAAGAACTGCTCTTGCGGAAATGTTCCTTCAGGCCCTTGATGGAGCGGTCCAGCTGGCTGGAGCGAATCTGATAGTAGACGTTCATGAAATCTGTGGAGAGAGCAACACAGGTATGGCAGCAGGGTTCCTACTGCTGCTTGCCACAGTACCATACTTCCCCCAGGGCAGCAGCAGAGCCCTGTATGGCTTCTGGCTAACCCTGTTCTAGCATATGCTTTGGCTCAAAGTCACCCATGTGGCCTCATCTCAACCATGCAAAATTTCAAAGAGAAAACCATTCTCAATAGAACTGATAATGAGATGTAAGTTTTGCACAGTAAGCTTATTTTAAATTTTTTAAAAAAAGTTAACATCCAGATTTAACTTGGTAAAAGGGTGTAATTTATATGAGGTAAAAGGGCAATAAATTATCAATGAATGAAAAAATATCATATCTTCAGCCATTAAAAAATGGAAGTTAGGGCTGGGGTTGTAGCTCAGTGGTAGAGTGCTTGCCTTGCATGCGTAAGGCCCTGGGTCTGATCCTCAGCACCACATAAAAATGAATAAATGAAGATACTGTATCCAACTACAACTAAAAAATAAAGAGTTCAAAGCCAGCCTCAGCAAAAGTGAGGCGCAAAGCAACTCAGTGAGACCCTGTCTCTAAATAAAATACAAAATAGGGCTGGGGATGTGGCTCAGTGGTTGAGTGCCCCTGAGTTCAATCTCTGGTACCAAAAAAAAAAAAGCAAATTAGCAGGGTTGGTGACGCATGCCTATAATCCCAGCAGCTCAGGAGGGTGAAGCAGAAGGATCACAAGTTCAAAGCCAGCCTCAGCTAAAAGAGGTGCTAWGCAACTCAGTGAGACCAGTCTCCAAATAAAATACAAAATAGGGGTGGGGATGAGGCTCGGTGGTCGAGTGTCCCTGAGTTCAATCCCTGTACCTCACAAAAAGAAAAAGCAAATTAGCTAGGYATGGTGGTGTGTGCCTGTGATCTCAAATATTTAGGAGGCTGAGTCAGGCCAAAATGGACAACTTAGGGAGATTCTGTTTCAAAACAAAAATTAAAAGGTCTGGGAATATAGCTCCATGGTAAAGCCTCCTGGGTTCAATCCCTGGTCTCTCTCTCTCTCTCTCACTCTCACACACACACACACACACACACACACACACCAAATTTAAAAAAATAGAGAAAATAGAAGTTATAGTTTGGAAAGCCATCTGTGAAATGCATGAGGACCTCTTCTCAGCACTGCAGCCAGGGAGGGAAATAGGTCTGGCAGTGGCAGTGGGAACTTCCTGTGGCTCTCTCATGGAGACAGACCACCCAATGCACATGACCTTCCATTGGGCTAGAAAGGTCCCTCATAGTAGCACCGGAGATGGACATAACCCATTAGGAACTGAGCAGCCTACCTGCCCCCACCGTTATCCTATTYTGGGAAAAACTTTCTTTAGAATTTCTTTGATGTCTTCCAATATAAATAAAGCAGGTGTGGGCTCCTTTGTATGTTAGAAGCTGGACCCATCTGGTTAGGTTGTCTGTCCTGCCCTAGCTTTGAAACTAGTTTCTGTGTTCTGTGGTTATTTCGCCGTTTTATTTCTCTTAGCCTTTATTTCTCAGCCAGTCCATTCCACTGGAGGGAACCCTGTTTCTATCGCCTGCGCAGAACATGGGTGGTAATATAGCCAGGTGGAGTGGCACAGCCTTAGTCCCAGCTATTTCGGAGGCAGAAGCAGGAGTCACTTCAGCCGAGRAGTTCAAGGCTGGCCTGGGCAACATAGTAAAACCTTATCTCAAAAAAATGAAAAAATAGGGACTGGGGTTGTGGCTCAGCAGTAGAGCTCATGCCTAGTGCATGTGAGGCACTGGGTTCAATCCTCAGCATCACATATGAATAAATAAAAATAAAGGTATTGTGTCCACCTACAACTAAAATATTTTATATATATATATATATATGAAAAAATAAAGGAAAAGGAAAGAGCTGGGGATATAGTTCAGTGGTAGAACACTTGCCTAGCATGTGTGAGGTTCTGGGTTCAACCCCAGCACTGGAGGGGTGGGGGGGGGAGCCCAATCAAATAGCAAAAATGATAAAATTAATAAAGACTAATAAAGACTAAGTAGAACTGTCAATAAGTCCCTTGACTGGCATCAACCCGAGAAGCAGCTGGCAATAGCAATTATTTTTTTTTCAGTGCTGGGGATTGAACCCAGGGGTGCTCTACCACTGAGCTACATCCCCAGCCCTTTGCTTTTTTTGGTGCCAGGGATTGAACTCAAGGGCACTTAACCACTTAGCTCATCAGGATAATCAGAGAGCACATACTGACAATATGGTTATTCAGACACACTAACTAAGAGTTAGTAACTTGTAACTAATTTTACAAGTGTAAAATGGACTATCTAGGGAACTTTTATTTTTCAGAAATTTTGCTTATCTCAAGTTTTTTTTTTTTTTTTTTTT